TTTAGTCCTAGTTTAGTCCTAGTTTAGTCTTGATTTAGTCCTGATGTAGTCCTGGTGTAGTCCTGGTTTAGTCCTGGTGTAGTCCTGGTGTAGTCCTGGTGTAGTCCTGGTGTAGTCCTGGTGTAGTCTTGGTTTAGACCTGGTTGAGTCCTGGTGTAGTCCTGGTTTAGTCCTGGTGTAGTCCTGGTTTAGTCCTGGTTGAGTCCTGGTGTAGTCCTGGTGTAGTCCTGGTTTAGTCCTGGTGTAGTCCTGGTTTAGTCCTGGTTTAGTCCTGGTTTAGACCTGGTTTAGTCCTGGTTTAGTCCTGGTGTAGTCCTGGTTTTAGTCCTGGTTTTAGTCCTGGTTTAGTCCTGGTTTTAGTCCTGGTTTAGTCCTGGTGTAGTCCTGGTTTAGTCCTGGTTTAGTCCTGGTTTAGTCCTGGTTTAGTCCTGGTTTAGTCCTGGTGTAGTCCTGGTTTAGTCCTGGTTTAGTCCTGGTTTAGTCCTGGTTTAGTCCTGGTGTTAGTCCTGGTTTAGTCCTGGTGTAGTCCTGGTTTAGTCCTGGTTTAGTCCTGGTGTAGTCCTGGTGTAGTCCTGGTTTAGTCCTGGTGTAGTCCTGGTTTAGTCCTGGTTTAGTCCTGGTTTAGTCCTGGTTTAGTCCTGGTTTAGTCCTGGTGTAGTCCTGGTTAGTCCTGGTTAGTCCTGGTTTAGTCCTGGTGTAGTCCTGGTTTAGTCCTGGTTTAGTCCTGGTTTAGTCCTGGTGTAGTCCTGGTTGAGTCCTGGTGTAGTCCTGGTTTAGTCCTGGTGTAGTCCTGGTTAGTCCTGGTTTAGTCCTGGTAGTCCTGGTTTAGTCCTGGTTTAGTCCTGGTTTAGTCCTGGTTTAGTCCTGGTTTAGTCCTGGTTTAGTCCTGGTTTAGTCGTGTTAGTCCTGGTTGAGTCCTGGTGTAGTCCTGGTGTAGTCCTGGTTTAGTCCTGGTTGAGTCCTGGTGTAGTCCTGGTTTAGTCCTGGTGTTGGTTTTAGTCCTGGTTTTCCTGGTGTAGTCCTGGTTAGTCCTGGTGTAGTCCTGGTTTAGTCGTGGTGTAGTCCTGGTTTAGTCCTGGTGTAGTCCTGGTTTAGTCCTGGTTTAGTCGTGGTGTAGTCCTGGTTTAGTCCTGGTGTAGTCCTGGTTTAGTCCTGGTTTAGTCCTGGTTTAGTCCTGGTTTAGTCCTGGTTTAGTCCTGGTTTAGTCCTGGTGTAGTCCTGGTTGAGTCCTGGTGTAGTCCTGGTGTAGTCCTGGTTTAGTCCTGGTTGAGTCCTGGTGTAGTCCTGGTTTAGTCCTGGTTAGTCCTGGTGTAGTCCTGGTTTAGTCCTGGTTTAGTCCTGGTGTAGTCCTGGTTTAGTCCTGGTGTAGTCCTGGTTTAGTCCTGGTGTAGTCCTGGTTTAGTCCTGGTTTAGTCCTGGTTTAGTCCTGGTTTAGTCGTGGTGTAGTCCTGGTGTAGTCCTGGTTTAGTCCTGGTGTAGTCCTGGTTTAGTCCTGGTTGGTAGTCCTGGTTAGTCCTGGTTAGTCCTGGTTTAGTCCTGGTTTAGTCGTGGTTAGTCCTGGTTTAGTCCTGGTTTAGTCCTGGTGTAGTCCTGGTGTAGTCCTGGTTAGTCCTGGTGTAGTCCTGGTGTAGTCCTGGTTTAGTCCTGGTTTAGTCCTGGTTTAGTCTCTTTCACACAGACAGTATTTGTTGCAACTTGGTCCATTCGAACCAAAAGCTCTTAGTTCAGTTCGTTTTCGTTGGTGTGAAAGTTTCAGTCGGACTTGGACCTGGACTAAATCACTCGGACCGAGACGTCAGAAAAGAGGTCGTCTCACTTGAATCTGCACCAAATGCCAAACTCTGGGTCGGTTCCTCTGGTGTGAACGAGAACTCGGGTCCAAACCACAGACAGCAGGTCCAAACCGACTCTTCCAAATGCATCATGGGAGTTGACACGCGTCTCCTCTGCCTGAAATGTCGCGCTGTACGACTCCAGCGCAGTAACAGATTGTTTTCCAGACGCAGTCGCGATTCATTTTCGAAATATTTTGCCAACAATCGTCAATACAGAGAATTTAACACATGAAGATCAGAGCAAAACCAACGTGTGAACATGTGGCTCCAGAGTCAGACTGATGGGAGTGTTCGTCTGTTCAGGACCTGCACACACACAGACGACCCGGTGTTCCCCGTGGACCAACCAGCATTTGTTATTTTAGGCTTTAATTAACCAAATAATTTTATGGCCATCGCCCATTCAATTGATTCAACTTTAAAAATGTCCTGCTTTTGGCCTCGTGTGAGAAATACAGTGGGACTAGATCAGATCCTGAGTCCTGAAGCAGCGGGAGCATCAGGCCGGGTTCAGATCATGTGGAGTGGGATGTGCGGAGCTTCGGCCTGAGAAGAACTTTCCCCGAGAAGAACCAAATGCACGAAGGACGGACGCTCGGAGCAACGTATGACCAACCAAACTGGACTCACACTTCTGTCCAGATGCTGCACCACCTCAGAACCAACCACGGTTCTTAAAGGTTGTATAGAAGATTTTTCCAAGGAAAGAGAAATGCAGCGACTGTTTGTCCATTTTCAATTGTCGCACTTCGCTCCTCTTCCCCGTCTCTTCTTCTTTCAGCTACGTCAAAAACAGACTTTCTTTTCTGGCGAACTGGTCGTGAGTTTTTGTCTCAACAAACTTTGTGTGAGAAGAAGCTACAGTTCGAAAAAGACGCTAAGAACCGCTGTGTTGGTTGAGTAAACAGCATCAGTGCATGAGGTAAACGTAGACCACATAATCCCAGCGCGTCGACAACTCAGTGATGATACAAACGTAGGGAGTTTGATTGACAACCCAACAGCCAATAGAAAAAGAGGTAGCGTTGTTTTCTATTGGCTGATGTTTATCTGCCCCCATCACATCCACAGTTGATGGATTTTCATTCTTTTTTTTTTTTTGGTCATCATAATTACAAGGCTGCTGCATCTCTATAATTTTATTTTGAACTTTCATAGACAATTTGAAACAAACAAAAAAAATCCTCCATACAACCTTTAAGGGCGGAGGACCAGAGCTGCCCACACCGACACGGAACCAGCGCACAGACGATGGAACGTACCTGCTCAGACTCAGTCCACTGCACGTCTGGAACCAGGACATGGAGGACGGAGCCTCTGGACCATCTGACCAACGCACTCGGAGGACGTTAAGTTGCGTTCAAAGTTCTACATGCTGCTGTTTTATGAGTTCATGGTGATAAGTTGAGATGAAGACGGCCCGTGGTCTTATCAGTATTAATAATTGGAGGTATCGCTGTTTTCCCGGGAAACAGAGGCTCGTCAATCGGACCAATTTTGGTTCGTTTACTGGTGTGAAAGCTCCACACTGGAGTGAATCTGCTGCATAATTATTTTACTGCCTGGTGCGGAGCAAATAATCAAACTAGTGGTGTGAAAACTCCCTTAGTTTAGACCTGGTTTAGCTCAAATTGGTCAAAAATAGGAACACCTGGGACATTTCTTATACGAGTCTACGTTTCTATGATGACGGTCTGAACAGAAGACACAGAAGTGGCATTGCAACGACATTAGAACAGAGAAAACAGTGTAAAATGGGCACTTTAACATCATCTGCTCGTGACGTTGTACATCTGTGACGATTTAACGGTTCCTCGAGTGGGCGGATTATACAAAATTGACTGTTAACTTTGACATGATGGTTTCCCCTTATAATTATGTAACTCACAGTTTTATTTGGGTTTATTCATGTTGGGGTCATTCTGTTTTGTCTTGTATTTCACTGAGTGTGTTTACATGCACATCAATAACTCGGTTATTCTCCATATCTCGGTTCTGTCAGTGTTCGTGTTACTGTGTTTACATGTTCACTGAGAAACCGGGACACTCATATCCACATGTACATGATCAAATGGAGTGTCCCGGTTTCTTGACATAATCTTACAAATGCGCAGGCGCAAAAATGAACTTAAATCAATTTCATAAACCAGGAAAAATACAAACCGTGAGCTCCTTTAGCATAAGAAGCTAAGGAGCTACGAGATCTCCCACAATCCACTGTGCAGATTCTTCATTCAAATCTTCTGCATAAATAAACTCAACTTTACAACATATAAACCATAAAACACTATAGACACATCAGCCCGTTTGATCAGATCATTCAGCTCTGATCACATTTGTTTACGTTTTACAGAAACGAAACTTAAGACCGTTTGGCTAATTAGCATAAACTGTTAGCGGCGATAAAAACAACTCGCTCCTTGTGTCGCTGATGTGATCAGTTTCTTTTGGACTAAATGACTCGACTTTGTGGATTATGTGTGTTATTTCTGTGACAGAAGAGGCGCTAATGATGGTGAGTGTGTTTCGTGCATATAGAGGATAGGAGATAGTTCATGTTTTAGCTTTTCAGTGTCACACGAGTGCAGGTCGTACGAGTGCAGGTCGTACGAGTGCAGGTTTAGCGCAGCTCTTTATTTTACAGTCATTTCACTCGTTTGGTCACTTTATTTATGTTGGTCAATTTATTTATGTCACTACTGTTGTGGTGAAAGGCTGGAAAGTGTCTTTTGGACACATGTGACTCAACTTTATGTTGCAGTAACCGGGATACTGCGTTTACATGCCACAAGTATCACAGTTACTATCGGAATAAACCAGCTACAGTAACTTGGTTTCTAATAACCGGGACACTGCCATAACCGGGTTACTGCGTTTACATGCACCATCAAGAAACTGGGAAACTCAAAAAACCCGATCATAACCGGGTTATTGATGTGCATGTAAACACACTCACTGGTTTAGACGTGATTATTTGAAAGATTAAGACTCAGTTTGTGTGTAAACTTGGGATAATCCTGCACCAGTCGAACTCTGTCACTGTTATTATTAATGAGACACGCTGTCACATTAATAATAATAATAATAACTCTAGTCTTATGCAGCACTTTTCCAGACGCTCAAAGTAAATTTCGGGCTTTGACGAGGAGGTTTTGGTCACATTACCTATTCCTCGGCTGCTGGGGGCGCTGTCCTCCTCCGTGGGCTCGGCCGGCAGCACCGTCACTTTGGTGCCCGTTTGTCTGATGAACTGCTGCAGGTTCACTTGTCTCAGCTCCTTCGTCAGCTGCTCCAGCTCCTGCTGCATTTCCTACGAACGCAGAAGGAAACTGGTCAGGACACGGACACTTCCTGTTTTACATTTTATACAAGTGTCGCGACAACAACTGAGTCAGGTCTGTGGAGACGCACGTTTACTGAAGGATGCAAGTTTTTCAAGGATTTAAGTGCAATAAAAATAAAATATCATAATGAAAATACATGTTTGAATTTTAGTTTATCTTTCGGCTAAAAAGTTACGCAGTGGAACTTTAATATAGAACATTTCAAAATGAACTGAAGCAAAAAATAAAAGTGTGATTCTAGAAATAGATAGAAATGAGGATTAGATTCACTCTAAATACAGCTAATGTTTGGATTGGGGACGGACATTTGATAAAATTTTCTTAATCGATCGTCGGGAGAATTAACGATCGATTATCGATTAATCATTAATGCTTTTTATATTAAAATGATCATCATTATTATTACTATCTGCACTAATCTGCATAAATAAATTCAACTTTACGACATATAAACATAACGACTCTAGATCCACATCAGCTGTTTGACATTATAATGTGTTTAATTCAGTTTTGTTCAAATCTCACAGAAACAAAACTTAAAACCACATCACTAATTTACATAAACTAAGTGAAGATAAAACTCCAGCTCTTGTGTCGCTGATGTGGTTCAACTTGTGTTGGATTAAAAGACATGACTCAGGTGAATACAGGTCAGTGTGACCAGATTTGTGTTTGTCAAAACCAGGACAGCGTACGGGGGGAGGGGGGCGGGGCCTCGTCATCCACATTGAGCGACTCTCACCTGGAAAAACTTTTTCCCACTGGACACAGAAACATATGTGCTGCTTTATCCACTGTGCACATGGACTCACACTTGTCCCAACGCAACGGAAAGTGTGGAATTTCTTCTACAAATCCTGGTTAAATCCACATTTGTGCTTCGGTTCGTTACAGACTGACCCACTGTTTGTGTCTCGCTCCTTCTGATGCAGAGACACATGTACACACCTGTTTGGTCACGACACACACACATACATTCAGTTTGTCGATTAAAATGAACGTAATCGATGAAATTCTTAATGATCAATTATCGATTAATCGACTAATCATGCCCATCCCTAGTTTGGACTGCAGAGAAACACGGCTCTAACAAAACTCTGAAACAACGGACTCGGTATTGGAGCCTCACACAACACTTTGCCATGATTCCTGTTCTGTGTGTGGGTGGAGCCTCGCACCTGTGGGCCTGTGTGTGGGTGGAGCCTCGCACCTGTGGGCCTGTGTGTGGGCGGAGCCTCGCACCTGTGGGCCTGTGTGTGGGCGGAGCCTCGCACCTGTGGGCCTGTGTGTGGGTTAGAGCATGAAAACCCGACCGAAGTCCGATGAGAACCTCTGTTGGGGCTCGGTTCGGACTCGGACACATGAGCGCGTCAGCTGTTTCCTGTCTCCAGTGGCTCCAGTGGCTCTGAGGCTCTTAAATGTTCAAAGATCAAACTCTGCACTAGATCCAAGTCCAAACTGTGTGATTATTATTTGTGAAATGTGGAGCAAAACATCAGATCCAGGATTAAGCCAAAGATGTTCATTTTGTCTTTTTATATACTTTAACTTTTTGGGTTCTTTTTAAAACAACAAGTTCAAACGCTGGATCAAGGACGACGGTGAAATCAGGAAACGAGGAACGGACAGGATTAAAGGATGACAGCGCGTTCCTCCTTTCACACACCTGGGACACCTCCTCCAGAGACACCGGGCGACGGGAGGCGTGGTCAGTCTGAGCCACCTGCAGGTCCATCAGGCTGACCACACCTACAGGAAGTAACAACAACTGATATACGACACGTCACCACCAACACCGGTGACAGTTCTGAAGATGCAGCAGCAGCAGCCGAAACATGTCAACAAGGTAAACACACTTTACTGCATTGTCTTTAAAAAGAACCTAAGAAGTTAAAACAGATCCAGGATTTTTAAAGCATAAAAGATTGGAGATAAAGTGGTGGGGAAGTCGAGTCACTGTGGAGAATCTGCAGCTTCAGCTCGAGTCGCGCGCTGTGTGCACGTAAACAGACACATGTGAGGAACTACTCTCACCTTTTTACTTTTAAACAACGCAAAAAAATTGACTCACAGCACCGTTTTGTGGACTGGGGTCATTATTTGCAGAGGACAAATTCCATGGATAATGTGGATGAGACGCTGCACTTTAATTCACGACTTTATGAAAGGTTCAGAATAAAGTCTAATCATTATTTTCGCTTTATCCTGAGTTTGTATTTTGTGTCTCTGTGGGTCATTAGGCCTGTGAAAAAAGTGGGATTTTAATTGTGTTGGGTTCAGACACAAATATCTTAATAATGATCGGCAGTGTTGGGAGTAACAGATTACATGTACCGGAGTTAAGTAATCAGAGTACAAATGATGAGTAACTGTATTCAGTTACAGTTACTGTTTCAGTGAGTGGTAACTGGATTACAGTTACTTTGTTGAAATAAATGGATTACACAGAGGGATTTTCCCTGTTTTCACATTTTGAGCTAAATCCCCCCCTTTTTTTTTCTTTTTTTTCTCAGAAATTCCACTCATGGCCAGAAACTAAACCAGATCTAAAGTAGATTCTAAACTAGAGCTAAACCAGGACTAAACCAGGACTAAAACCAGGTCTAAACTAGATCTAATCCAGGTCTAAAACAAGTCTAAAACCAGGTTTAAACCAGGACTAAATCCTGCTGTGTGGACGTGTTTCTTCTTCTATCAATAATATTTTTAATTTGGTTCAGTAAAATCTGGACTTTTTATTTTCTTTTATCAGACAAAACTTCTTATGTGAAGATTTCCTCGTCTTTGCTTTCTCTACAGCAAATCAAGTAATCCAAAGTAATCAGATTACATTACTCACTTTAAGTAATTTAATGGATTATGTTACAAACTACATTTTGGTGTATGTAATCTGTAATCTGTAGGGGATTACATTTTAAAAATCACCTTCACAACACTGATGATCGAGCTCGAGTCAGATTCAATCACTGCTCTGTGGGACGCAGGCCGGACTCAAACTGAAAAATTGGCTCTGTGTGTGGGCGGAGTCTCGTACCTGTGACTCTGTGTGTGGGCGGAGTCTCGTACCTGCTGCTCTGTGTGTGGGCGGAGTCTCGTACCTGCGGCTGTGTGTGTGTGTGGGTGGAGCTTTGTGTGTGTGTGGGTGGAGCTCTGTGTGTGGGCGGAGTCTCGTACCTGTGGCTCTGTGTGTGGGCGGAGTCTCGTACCTGCGGCTGTGTGTGTGTGGGCGGAGCTTTGTGTGTGTGTGGGGCTCTGTGTGTGGGCGGAGTCTCGTACCTGCGGCTGTGTGTGTGGGCGGAGCTTTGTGTGTGTGTGGGGCTCTGTGTGTGGGTGGAGCCTCGTATCTGCGGCTCTGTGTGTGGGCGGAGTCTCGTACCTGTGACTCTGTGTGTGGGCGGAGCCTCGTACCTGTAGTTTTTTGCCGCTCTGTCCGATGGAGCGTTCCAGAGCTCTCCCGCTGCCCTCCAGCTGCACGCTCTGCCTCTCCTGGGCTTTGAGCTCCGTCTTCAGTCGGAGGACGTGAGCTCGAGCCTCGGCCGCCGTCACCCACTGGGTCTCCTGCCTCTCGCGCTGCACCCGCTGCTCCTCCAGACCCAACTCCACCCCCTGGAGGAGAAGAAGAACAACAACAACTCAGACACTCGCATTTAAAGCTCCGACTTTTTCTGAGCGTGAAGTCGTGTTCTAATGTTGGTTCCTCCTAAAAACACACCTGGAAAAACAATTCGTTCATTTGTTTTTCAATATAAAACCAAGAATAAGAAAATAAAAAAACTGTTTTCTTCATTATTTGTCTCCAAAACCAAAATGAAAAAACAGATAATGATTCGATTTTTCAGTTTTCAATTTTGTGTTTAAATGAAAAATGGAAAAAACAGATAACGGCCGTTTCCCGTTTATGTGACTTCCATGACTGCGATGTCGGACTGAACCAGGACTGATCCAGGTCCGGGTCCAGAGCGGGACCAGAGTGGGACCAGAGTGGGACCAGAGCGGAACCAGAGTGGATTCCGAGCCTCCGCGGGGTCTGAGTCTCAGCTTCGAGCTCCGGCCCTGCAGTGGGCTCTGAGCCTCCGGTCTGGTCCCACTCTGGTCCTGGTCTCGGTCCCGGTCTCGGTCTCGGTCTCAGTCCTGGTCTGGTCCCGGTGTTGGATCGGTCCTGGTTCAGTCCGTATGCAGCGCAAAAGTCCGACATCACAGTCACTGAAGTCACGTAAACGGGAAACGGTCGTTATCTGTTTTTTCCATTTTTCATTTAAACACAAAATCGAAAACTGAAAAACGAATCTTTATCTGTTTTTTTCATTTTGGTTTTGGAGACAAATAATGAAGAAAACTGTTGTATTTTTAGTTTTCTTATTTTTGATTTTATATTGAAAAACAAATGAACGAACGACACACGGATTCTGGAGTTTTGTTTGTTTCATTCACATGTTTGAGTCACTCTTTATTATGAGTCTGTTTCATCTCCAAATCTCACTCTGTTCCACCTTGTGATGTCATGTAGTGGTCGTTTTCAAGTGAACAGATCGTTTTATTTGAGTTCAGTTCAGATTGACATTTCCGGAGCTGAAATGATGTTTGTTTTTCAGGTTTGTTGGAGAAGAAGCTCTTCGTGTGCAGGAGTTTTTCTGGAAAACAGCCTCAGTCTCACTCCTGGTTTTTTCTTTTATTGATACGTCGGTCGCTCGGACAAATTCCTTCTGAGGAACCAAAACGTCACATGAACAAAAGAAAACGAGGAGTGACAGAGTGTGGGAGTTTTTCTTGAGAAAGACTGAAATGATCTGAATGATTCAAGTGAAGCTGAGTAGAGTTTATCCTCCTCCACGTCCAACACATTTTGGGTTGTTCAGACTTTTCATAAATAGTTTTTGCAAATCATTATTCAGTTGTGACTTTACTGTGTTTCATCAAAATGATTAAAACATAAAATGACTGTTGTGTGAATGTGAATGTTCAAAATACAATAAAAAATTGAAGGAGCCTCATAAAATACATGTTTGGTTTCAAATTAAAGGTCTTTTTCTGCTCTTTCAAAGAAAATTTATTCCAAATTTATTTATCACTACCCACATTGCATTTCCTTGTTTTTAACAGGATCCTCACACATAAACTATTTCAAATTTTCAACATTTGGTGAATTTTTTTAACAGTCCTACAAGCAAGTTTAAAAAGGGGCTAAAAATGGTACGCCACGGAAATGAAAGTTTTTTGTTGTTGTCATTTTTAAGTTCATATAAAATGACTGTGAGTTGAGAGACCAAACCTTCGACAGATGTTATTTGAACACAGAGTCGAGGAGCACAAACCGACAAAACTTCAGCCCTTTATGTGTGATACTTACGGAGACATCGACCTGTGAAAACGGACGAGAAAAAACTGAGCTGAGTTGTGTGGTCCTCTGTGTCTTTTATTTATTTTTATGTGTTTTATTGGTTTTACTGATTTAATTTATTTATTGGTTTATTTATTTCTATTCTATGATTTAGTTTTAATTTTATTTTACTGGTTTTATTATTTTAAGACTAGTATTATTTTAGTAGTTTATTTTATCATCTTATTATTGTTGTTATTTTTATGTTTTTGTGCAGCACTTTGGAAACAGTTTGTTTGTGAAATGTGCTGTAGAAATAAAGTGGATTGAATTGAAAATGACGCAATTTGACACATCCTCCCCTCACTGAATGAGCTGTAACTTGAAAAGTAATGATTGAAAATCAGTAAAACTTCACAGGGTTGGTACATGATCGTAAGGGACTATTTGTTTTTGGTTTTTTTTCAAATTTTTTTGAGATCGAAGTGCGTGGACATGTCCTGCCCTAATAAAAATATTATAAAAATATGATTTGTTTTTGCACTCATCAGGTCCCGATCAGCCGAAATAACAAAGAGAAATCAATAAAACCACAAGAGTTCAGGTCCTAGGAGTTTAAAAACACAATGGAGCTCTTCCTGTTTTGCTACATGACATCACAAGGTGAAACAGTGTGTTTTCTGTTTGAGAGAAGAACCTAAACATGCAGGTTTGTGAGTTAAACATGTGTGAATGAAACAAAACACAACTCCAGGTGGTTACAGCCTCATCAGCAGAAAATCATTCCTCTTCTATTGGTTTGTCAGCAACATTTCTCTTGAACAACTGAATGTTTATTTGATGAAAGCAACAGGGAATAATCCCTGGATATCAGGAAGAATGAGTAAACTTTTGGATGTTTACCAATTAAAAATGGCTGCAACATCAACATTGTTAGAGATATTAACAGGAAAACACATAATCATGTATAACAGCATCAGCTAAGACCAACATGACTTAATTTGTTGGTTTACAAACCCACCAATGTTTATTAAAAGAAAAAGATTTAAAATAAAATTGAAATGAAGGTTGTAGAGCTCGAATAAAATGTGTATAAAAATAACAGCACCAGACATTTGGGTTGGATTTGTCTTTGGCTTTTGAAGTTTGACCATGTGAAAATAGAAACGGCTGCTGTGACCTTGGAAAATGGATCAAGGTCAAATGGCTGCTATGGGACAAAGGTCATGGTACTAGGGGTGCGCAAAAATATCAAAATATTGATATATCGTATCGCTTAATGTGATGATACAGTATCGATATTGTGGGCTGCTGTATCGATATATCGTCAGGAGTATTTTTGGTGTATTTTACTCAGTTGTTTTGGTGCAGAGCTACAGTTTTGTTGCTTGTTTAGTGGAAGAAAACACATGACACATTTCACATTTTCCCTGTTTTGAGGATTGAAATGGGTGTGTTTCATATTAACTTTGTGCAAGAAGTGGAAGTTAGTTGCACAAGAAGTATTTTTTTATTAAACTGTATTGAATCGATTTGAAATATATCGTCTCAAATTGAAAGTTCACTGTATCGAGATATGTATCGTATCGGCAACTTCTTAATGATACCAGCCCTACATGGTACAGATAAGAACTTGGCAGAGTGAAAAGGATCTTGTTGTAAAAATCATTTATATTATAAGCAAATCTAGTTCCCATATTGAAATACACTGGAAAAGTGAACTTTGCCCTGTAAAGATCCACAAAGTCACTGTGACATAATCCAAGAACTGGAAAGAGATTTGTCCAGTCATGGTTAACGGACAGACAGACAGACAGACAGGACAGACAGACAGACAGACGGATGGACGCTGGACAGTGGGTGATGGCATAAACTCAGCTTGAGCTTGTATCCTTACAGTTTTCAATACGACCTGTCGGGTTCCCCAGAGCAGGAACATTTTTATGACACGTCTAAATACGTAGAAATAAACTTTGAGCTGAGCTAAAAATATCAAGGCCTCTTATTTTCAATTTGTTCGCAAAATTGGAAGTTCATATAAAAATTTATGTCTTTATGAACTTTGAGGTGAAAATTTGGAAAATACCCTACAACACAGGTGTCAAACATACGGCCCGGGGGCCAGATCCGGCCCTCCAAGACCTTTAATGTGGCCCTTGGGTGATTTTCTACAAAAATATTTGAATTATATTTTCTATTAAAATCGTGTTAATTTTCTGTGGTGTTTATCACAGCAGCGTCTCCAGCGTCTCTGTACGTGGCCCCTCCCACCAGAGCAGCACAAATGAAGACTTGTCTCTTTCCAAACGCTCTTAAAGGACGATCGTTTTGACTGTTGACCGTGACACCCTCATCAGAAAAATGTCCAACATGAGAAAAGTGGAGCCGAGTGCAGGATTTTACAACAAAAATGGACTTATTCCTGTTTACAGACAAGTTCATGTTAAAACTTTGTGTTGAAATTGTACATTTTTCTTAAAGTTTCAGGTTGTTCATAATATTATAATATTTTGTCAAAGAAAGAGTTCATCAATTAAAAAAGATTTCTGTAATAGATTTGTGTTTCTCTGCACAAATATTTGAACTTATTGTTATTTTTGGGGTTTATATGACATGAGTTTTCTGATCCGGACACTTTGGGATCAAAGTCGGTTGGACACGACGCCCGGAACAAAATGAGTTTGACTCTCCTGCCCTACAAGATCTACTGAAAACACGACCTGAACATGGATTTTCTGACTAGAAGGTCTCCTGATGATACGGCTGACCCCCTCCAGGTCCTTGTGTGTGACGAGGAAACTCCATCAGACCAGAGAAAAGTGTGACTTCTGTAGAACAAATCCATCTCCTTTGTTCTGTTCTCACCTGGACCATGGCGAGCTTCTCCTCGATCTCCTGCTCACACCCCTGCAGACGCATGCGCAGCTCCTGCAGACGCTCCTCCAGCTGCCGCTCGCTCTCCAGCTCGATCTGCAGCTCCGTCGCCCAGAACTCCTCCTCCTCCATCTCCACCTCGTTCTTCCTCAGATGTTTCTCCAGTCGCAGGATCTCCTCCATCAGACCCACGCCGTTGCACAGGTCCCCGGAGCCCCTCGCTGCTCTCCGGCCTTCATCCCAGACGTGCAGCTCCGACTCGTACGCCTCCAGTTTCCTCTCGAGAACGTTCAGAGTCTCTCGCTGAAGACCAACTAGCCTGACCAGGTCCTCCATGCGACAGGCCCACAGGCTCGGAGACGCCGTGCCCATCGCCGGGACAGTGTGGTGATGGTGACTTCCCCCGTTTCCGTTCAGGTATCTCCGTTTGGCGTCGCCCTCGCTCAAGGGAACGCCGCTCAGGATGTCCCTCAGACTCCTGGGCGCTCCGGTGAAGGTCAGGGACTTGCGGCGCGGCTCTCGGCGGCGCAGGGAGTGGTCGGCGTTGGGGTGGCGGAGCTTGGCGAGGGGCGGGAGGCTCTGGCGGTGCAGGCCTCGCTCGGGGCCTCTCAGCGGGGGGCCCTCAGACGGCGGGCGCTCGGTGAGGGACGGGCCGGTGCGGTGGAGGATCAGCTGCACGTCGCCCGCGTACTGGCCCCAGGTGTTCAGGGACGCCACGGGACTCTCGTGAGGAGCCAGGTGACGCTCGGTGTCTCGCCATTTCTCCACCAGAGTGTATCTGCCCGTACGACCTGAGGGACGACAACACGGACAAGAACATGAACAAGAACACGGACAAGAACATGAACAAGAACATGAACAAGAACATGAACAAGAACATGAACAAGAACACGGACAAGAACACGAACAAGAACATGAACAAGAACATGAACAAGAACACAGACAAGAATATGAACAAGAACACGGACAAGAACACGGACAAGAACATGAACAAGAACATGAACAAGAACACGGACAAAACATGAACAAGAACACGGACAAGAACACGAACAAGAACACGGACAAGAACACGGACAAGAACATGAACAAGAACAAGAACACGAACAAGAACATGAACAAGAACAGAGACAAGAACATGAACAAGATCATGAACAAGAACACGGACAAGAACAGAGACAAGAACACGAACAAGAACATGAACAAGAACATGAACAAGAACACGGACAAGAACACGAACAAGAATATGAACAAGAACATGAACAAGAACACGGACAAGAACAGAGACAAGAACACGAACAAGAACATGAACAAGAACATGGACAAGAACATGAACAAGAACCGAACAAGAACATGAACAAGAACACGGACAAAAACACGGACAAGAACATGAACAAGAACACGGACAAGAACACGGACAAGAACACGGACAAGAACACGGACAAGAACACGAACATGAACAAGAACATGAACAAGAACACGGACAAGAACAGGGACAAGAACACGGACAAGAACACGGACAAGAACACGGACAAGAACACGGACAAGAACACGGACAAGAACACGAACATGAACAAGAACATGAACAAGAACACGGACAAGAACAGGGACAAGAACACGGACAAGAACACGGACAAGAACGGACAAGAACATGAACAAGAACACGGTTAATACACAGAGTTTTATTTGGTAATACTGTGGTGTGTGGACTGGACTAAACTGCACATGATCACAGAGTCTCTGAGCCGGACTCATGAGCTTGGTTTCACTTGGTGGAAACCGTGTGACCTGCAGCATTAGTATTCGTTCACTCGACAGTAGACGGGGACGTCTTTCCCCGAGATAAAATTCACCAAACATTCTCTTTGTTCCGGCTTTAAATCCTCGATCTCAGGAATCGTTGCCGACACAGAATGTCTGTCTCTTCTCTGATTGGCTGGTGCCCAAACTCGCATGTTACAGCCACGGGCCTCGAGCTCCTCCTATAGCCATGTATGTTTAAAGTCTCTGTGTGCATGCAAGCCTCCAACTACAGATGGCTGTGATTGGAGGATTTAATTTAAGATGGCACCTGGAGGTAACATCTGGCCAATCCTGGGCCTGCACCTGGAGGACCTGCCCCTTCCACTCAGGGCAGCTGTTGTGTCCGTGGACTTGCCTGACACCTTTGTTGTGTCTCTCGGTGTATTTTGGTTGAGACACTAGAGTCTTTGTGACTTAGAGACTGGTTTTGTTTTTGTGTTTTCATTTTGTATACTTTGTTTGTTTTAGTCTACTTTAGTTACATCCATTTTGCTACTCTGTTTAGAGCCTCTTTTTGTTAATTATTGAAAATATCATCTTTTGTTAGCTTCACCTTAACAATTCTTTTAAATAAATCACAACTTTAGTTTTACCATTTTTAAATCTTGGTTATTTTGTTCCTTCCCCCTGTCCCTAGCAGAGTTGGGTCGTCCGGGGTTTTTGCAAATCGTCCAGTGTTTTCTGATTCTGATCTAGTCACTGGAGAGAAATGAAACTGAGCAGAGACACTAGGTGACGCCAGACTGACTAAGTGTCTCTGTGCTGAGTTTATATCTGAACTGATGTAAATAATAAACATTTGTGTGTCTGAACTCCAGCGTCAGTCGCCTGAGCAGCCAGACTCTGTCTCTGTTAGAATCTAGAAGGATCTGGAATCAGACCATAAAATCCTCTGTCCAAACATGACTTTTTCTCCATCCTTTATCCACACGACACCACCCCCCAGAATCTAGCCAAGTTAACTTGAATTAATAAAGTTTTGTCAAGATTTGAGTAAATTTCACTTGAAGTCAAATGATCTGCCAGTAGAACAAGACTTAAAATATGAAAATACATCTTACTACACTAAAAAAAAAAGAAAAACAACAACTTTTTGCACTTAAAATAAGAAACAAAATCCAATTTTGCTTGAATTAAGAAAAACACTTGTTCCATTGGTGGATCATTTCACTTGTCAATTTGAATCGACTCAAATAAAGTCAAATCATCTTAATTTAAGTCTTTTTAATTTAGCAAGATATTGTTTCTTTCCAGTGCAAACATTGGGGGCGAGGGGCAGTAAGTGTCTTGCCCAAGGACACAAGTGCCCTTTGGATCAGAGGTGGAGCTCCTGAGACGATCTTTCTTAACTCCAGTAGTTTCAGAATGGACGACATGACGACTTGGGCTGGAGACTAAAGAAACTGTTGGTCGAGTAAAGATCTGCAGATGGATCAGTCGACTGAAGGACTCCAGCTCGAACAGGAACATTAAACAAACTCTGATGTTGTGAGTCTGTCCCACAAACGTGTTTTTCGGCAGGTCGCTGGTGTATAATTTCAGCGTTGCCCCGTGACAAACCTTCTGTGGAAACATATGATTAAAGCGTTTAAGATCCTGTGGAGCTGAGTCAGAGTCGTATCAGATCTCTGCAGCCTTCATCACGTCTGCTCCAAACAGAAGAGGCACAGGAGGGTCTCAGTGTGGAGTTTGGCAGGACGGAGGGATGAGTCACTCTTTCCCTCCTCTTCCTCCTCCTCCTCCTCTTCCTCTCCCCCCGTCCTTTTATAAAGCCATAACAGAGTCTTATACTGGGGCCCGTTCGATCTGAAGCACCACGTCATGTTCTAGATTTACACTCGAACTGTTAACGCTCAAACAAAAAACACTCTTACACCTTCTTCAAACTTACTCTACGTTCAGTCTGCAGCCTGAAGTGACCCAGATCTGATTTTTTGCTCCTGTATCTGATCTTTTAATGAATCAGATTTTTTTCAAATGTGACCCAGGACACTTGGGCTTCGTTCAGACTGCAGGGTGACTTTTTTGTAAAATTCGATGTTTTTTCGAGGTCGTTCACATTTCCAGTTAAATGTGACTTGTGTGTGACTCCAGTGTGAACATTAAACGGTCCAAAAGTGTCCCACATGTGACACTGGAGACACGACGACGTCAACCGCAGCGAGCGTCTCTGTGTGTCGTTCGTTCATTCGTTTTTCAAAATAAAACCAAAAATAAGAAAAAAACCCAACTATTTTCTTCATTATTTGTCTCCAAAACCAAAATGAAAAAAATGGATAACGATTCGAATCATTCGTTTTTTCAGTTTTCGATTTTGTGTTTAAATGAATGAATGAATAATGGAAAAAACTGATAACGACCCGTTTACGTGACTTAAAGGTTGTATGGAGGATTTTTTTTTGTTTCAAATTGTCAGTGATAGATTATATAGATGCAGTCGCCTTGTAATTATGATGACCAAAAAAAAGAGAATAAAAATTCATCAACTCTGGACGTGGTGGGGCTAAACATTTGCCAATAGATAACGACACTGCCTCGTTATCTGTGAGCTGACAGGCTGTCAATCAAACTCCCTACGTTTCTAGTGTAACTGACTTGCCTGCGCCGCCGGTACGTGGTTTACGTACGACTGTCACACAGTCCACAGACGCAAACCGCACAGACGCTGTTTACTCCACCAACGCAACAGTTCTTAGCGGCTTTTTTTGACCTATATCTTCCTCGCAGTTCGCACAAAGTTTGTTGCAATGGCGACAAGAATCCAGGAGCAGTTCGCCGCAAAAGAAAGTCCGTTTTTGAGGTCGCTGAAAGAAGAAGACAAGGGGAAAAGCAGCGAAGCCAAACTAAGGTGATTCTTGGAGATTCATTCCAGCGATGGCGCGACTGAAGCAGACGCAAGGGTCTAAAGACTGAACCACTGGTCCACAAATTACTCCTGGACAGGAAACTTCTGCTTCTGCTTATTATGAAAACGTACTTTATTTCCAAGAGTTAGACAAACGTTTTTCAGGACACGAAAGCGATATCCTATGTCTGAAAACGTAATTTTCAAGGCAAAGAAAGAGTCCACTTGCTGTTGCGTGTTGTAGCTAGTTCATTCGCACTGAATCTCCGCGCAACCTTCTCTGCACCCCTTTCCTGCTCCTCTCCCCGCTGCCCGATCCGCTCTTCCCCCTGCTCCTCACTTCTCCGTCTTGTCTAACCAACACTGTAGTTAGTTGTTTACAAGTCATGTGCAGCGGCTGTAAACAAACCTGTTTGTGGCGTAAAGAGGAGGAGGGAGGAGGTGTTTCTACGTAGGAGCTGTAGGGGAGGGGAGGTGGTTTCACACATGCGCAACATTTGAAAAAGGACAAACAGTCGCTGGATTTCTCGTTCCTTGGAAAATCCTCTATACAACCTTTAAACTGAGATGTCGGACTGAACCGGGACCAAACCGGGACTAATCTTGGACTAGGACTTGGACTCTAGGACCGCCCCTGAGAGAACCCCGAGCCCGTGGAGCAGGGTGTCCGCAAACCTCGATCAGGCGTCAGCTGTGATTCTTCCCATGGAGTGTGGAGTTCTGCACCGGTCCTTTCGTTCGCGGTTATCGTTATCCGTCGCTCTACGTGGGGCAACTCCGGGCCCGTCCCGACACGCAGAATCATAACGAAGGCATTTCACCGCTGCAGATATTGTGGTGATTTTAGCGAATTTGTATGAAGAAAAACGAAAAACCCACCACTTCGAGTAAAATATCAACATTTTTTTCCCTGTAATGCCTGATAATTTGTTACTTTTATAACGAGTTACTCCCAACACTGGAGTTCAGACACAATGTTTGTATGACGAGAAGAACGTTTGTGCACATTGAAGTCGCATGTCAAAAGATCAGATATGTATCGGTTTCAGGAGCACAGATCCAAGTGTCCTGGGTCACGTTTGAAAAAAAAATCGGATCTGTGTGGTTCAGACTGACATTAAAAGATCAGATACAGGAACATAGGGGCCAAAAAAAATCTGATTTGGGTCACTTCAGGTGCAGACTGAACGCAGCCTTGGACATGTGCTCCTAAAACCGATACATGTCTGATCTTTTGACATGTGACTTGAGTCTGAACGGACAGGTCACATTCATCCCACCTACACGTGTCACAAATGTTCACAAACGTTCTTCTCGTCAGATGAAAACTGTGTGTGAAGCAGTGAAGCACAGATCAATCGCTCCACAAAACTCCACATCCAAAAACCTGGTCCTTCTCCTTCTCAATCTCCTCCTTAAAACAAATCATCTGTTGATGTTCTGACTCCGGTTCGACAGCAGCTTTAAAATCTCCAGGTGCTCGATGCTGCACTTTTGGGGCGTTTAATGTTCACACTGGAAATCAGGCACAAGTCACATTTAGCTGGAAATGTGAACGACCTCAGCTCCCCCTGCTTTAAACACGATTTCCACTAAATTAAACATGATTTCAACTAAATAAAAGAGCTTTAAACACGATTTCAACTAAATTAAACACGATTTCAACTACATAAAAGAGCTTTAAATATGATTTCAACTAAATTAAACATGATTTCAACTAAATTAAGAGCTTTAAACTTCATTTTAACTAAATAAAAGAGCTTTAAACACAATTTCAACTAAATTAAACGATTTCAACTAAAGATTTAAAACAAACAAATTTCAACTAAATTAAACACAAATAAATTTCAACTAAATTAAACGCGATTTCAACTAATTAAAAGTTCTTTAAACACAATTTCAGCTAAATACAGGTGCTTTAAACACGATTTCAACTCAGAATTCACAAAAAAAAAAATCCAATTTGAGCATTAAGCCCTGCAGTTTGAACGTAACCTTAGAACAAAAAACAGCGTAACACTTCCCCTTTAAATAAACCTGGTCCCTTTTCCTGAGACTCACCTATGGCCTGGGCGAGCGCGATGACCACTTCCTGACAGGTGGTGGCGTCGGTGACCCCGCACACGACCCTCTGGACTCCATCCACCCACACCTTGAGCTCCATGGCGGGTCAGAGCCTCTCCGCCCTGACCGGCCCCACATGGGACGCTCGGCTGTGGCCTCGGCAGCTTCCACCCGCAGGAAACCGGAGAAAAGAAACAGGAAGTGTGAGTCAGGACGCGCTTCAGGACACAAAACGCACGGAGGAGGTTTCCACGGGCGAGTTACAGGTCAGAGCTGCGGAGAGGCGACCCCGCGCACTCTCAGGATGTCAATAAAACCAACTGTAACTGAGTAAATGTAAAGTCGAGCTGTTTAAAGTCACACTGCGGAACATTTCAGGCAGAGCAACGACGTCTCCATAAAAACAAGCAAAAACTTACATATAAAATGCACCTTTTTTTCCTTTTTTTTTGGTGGGATAAGGCTTGACGTAAAAATAAATTATAGTTTTACACAAATCAAGAAGCAGTTTGTGAAGAAAAAAAAAAATAGAAAAGTATTTTGTAAATTACAGGAAGTGGGGGAGGGTTCTATTTTAGTCCCACGCAGATGACATCACAAGAAGAGAATTCTGTCCAAAGGTCTGGTACAAGTTTACAAAAGAAACATGATTTTATGACACTTTAAATGTGATTTTAACTTAACAGAAATACTTTAAATACGATTTCAACTAAATAAAGGCGCTTTAAACATAATTTCAACTAAATAAAGATTCTTTAAACATAGGTTCAACTAAATAAAGGCACTTTAAACATGATTACAACAAAATAAAGATGTTTTAAATGTGATTACAACTAAATAAAGGAGCTTTAAACACAAATTTAATGAAATAAAGATGCTTTAAACATGATTACAACTAAATACAAGTGTTGTAAACATGAATTCAATTAAATAAAATGATGCTTTAAATGTGATTTCAATTGAATAACGGCACTTTAAACATGATTACAACTAAATAAAGGAGCTTTAAACATGATTTTAACTAAATAAAGGTTCTTTAAGTATGATTTCAATTAAAGGCTAAATAAAGATGCTTTAAATGTGATTACAACTAAATAAAGGCACTTTAAACACAAATTTAATGAAATAAAGATGCTTTAAACATGATGACAACTAAATAAAGGTGCTGTAAACGTGAATTCAATTAAAAGTGTTTTAAATACGATTACAACTAAATAAAGGCGCATTAAACACAAATTCAATGAAATAAAAGTGCTTTAAACACAAGTTCAACTAAGTGCTGTAAACGTGAATTCAATTAAATAAAATGGTGCTTTAAATGTGATTTCAATTGAATAACGGCACTTTAAACATGATTACGACTAAGTAAAGATGCTTTAAATGCAATCTCAACTAAAAAGAGGTTCTTTAAACATGATTACAACTAAATAAAGATTCTTTAAACATAGTTTCAACTAAATAAAGGTGCTTTAAACATGATTTCAAATAAACAGAGGTGCTTTATGGATAATTTTAGCTAAATAAAGGTGCTTTAAATATGATTTCAATTAAATAAAGGCACTTTAAACGCAATTTCAACTAAATAAAGATGTTTTAAATGTGATTACAACTAAATAAAGGTGCTGTAAACGTGAATTCAATTAAAAGTGTTTTAAATACGATTACAACTAAATAAAGGCGCATTAAACACAAATTCAATGAAATAAAAGTGCTTTAAACACAATTTCAACTAAATAAAAGAGCTTTAAATATGATTTCAAGTAAATAAAGGTGCTTTAAATCCAATTTCAAATAATAAAGATGCTTTAAACACAATTTCAGCAAAATAATGGGGCTTTAAACAGGATTTCAACTAAATAAAGATGCTTTAAATGCTATTTCAACTGAATAAAAGATGCTTTAAACACAATTTCTTCACACAATTTCACATTTCTTCAACTTAACAAAGGTGTTTATTTTATATTTTTTTTCATCAAAACATAATTTCTGTGTGGAGTTTTGGCCCAGTGGACCACCTGGTTTAAGTAACAGTTATGGATTTCTCTAGTCTGACGTCATAATTTCCAACCAAGAAGTAAAATTTGAAGCCTAAAAAACGGCCAAACTGAGAAAGTTGTTGAGTAAACTGTTGTGTAACATGTGAATGACAGTGATGTGTGTTGTTGTTGTTGTGAGTAAAATGAGAAGTCTGAGCGTCAGAGGTTTAAACACGAGACTAAACACAGAGTTTGGAGACGACGCGAAATGAAAAACTCCAACTTCTGTTTACACGTTCAGACTCACCTTCAATTTGGGACTAAACCGAGACTAAAACTAGACCAGGACTAAACAAGGACTTGACCAGAACCAAACCAAGTCTAAATCAGGACTAAACTAAAACCATTCAACCAAAATAGTCCTGATTTAGTCCTGGTTTAATCCTGATGTAGTCCTGATGTAGTCCTGGTTTAGTCTTTGTTTAGTCCTGGTTGAGACCTGGTTTAGACCCTGATGTAGTCCTGGTTTTAGTTCTGGTTTTAGTCCTGGTTTTAGTCCTGGTTTTAGACCTGGTTTAGTCCTGGTTTTGACCGGGTTTAGACCAGATGTAGTCCTGGTCTAGTCCTGGTCTAGTCCTGGTTTAGTCCTGGTTTTAGTCCTGGTTTAGTCCTGGTTTTAGTCCTGGTTTTAGTCCTGGTTTTAGTCCTGGTTTTAGACCTGGTTTTAGACCTGGTTTAATCCTGGTTTAGACCTGGTTTAGTCCTGGTTTAGACCTGGTTTTAGACCTGGTTTTAGACCTGGTTTTAGTCCTGGTTTAATCCTGGTTTAGACCAGATGTAGTCCTGGTCTAGTCCTAGTTTAGTCTTGGTTTAGTCCTGGTTTAGTCCAGGTTTGGTTTTAGTTTAGACCTGGTTTAGTCCTGGTTTAGACCTGGTTTAGTCCAGGTTTGGTTTTAGTTTAGACCTGGTTTAGACCTGGTTTAGTCCTGGTTTAGTCCTGGTTTAGTCCTGGTTTAGTCCTGGTTTAGACCTGGTTTAGTCCTGGTTTAGTCCTGGTTTAGTCCTGGTTTAGACCTGGTTTAGACCTGTTTAGTCCTGGTTTAGTCCTGGTTTAGTCCTGGTTTAGTCCTGGTTTAGTCCTGGTTTAGTCCTGGTTTAGTCCTTGTTTTAGTCCTGGTTTAGTCCTGGTTTAGTCTGGTTTAGACCTGGTTTAGACCTGGTTTAGACCTGGTTTAGTCCTGGTTTAGTCCTGGTTTAGACCTGGTTTAGTCCTGGTTTAGTCCTGGTTTAGTCCTGGTTTTAGTCCTGGTTTAGTCCTGGTTTAGACCTGGTTTAGACCTGGTTTAGACCTGGTTTTAGTCCTGGCACATTTCTTGTATAAATTGGGACAAATCAGTAGTTTTGTATAAATCTGTGGGACGGGGGGGACACAGACTCAGGACTGGGACTGTCCCGGGTCCATCAGGACATCTGGTCACTCTGGTCATGTGGTGATACAGGAAGTGCTCCACTGTGTTTTTAAACTCCACACACCTTCACTAGAATCACTTGGATCATTTCAGCTCTTCTGGAATTTCCAATTTCTAAAGGTAAACGGAGCTGTTCACTTGAAAACTCTGCAGTATTTGTGTGTTTGAAATATGGAACCACGTTAAATTGTTGTTAAAATCTTGAAAGTGCAGATTTATGAAAACCCCGCCCCCTGGAGCCCCGTCGTGTCCCGTCGTGTCCGTGTGAGGAGCTGGACGTACCTGTGCAGGTCGGGCCTCAGTGGCAGCGCTGGTTTTGCTCTAAGAACAGTGACAGAGAGAAAGTCCTCGCTCCAGATCAGCTCCTGTTCACACAAACACAAAAGAAACAAACATGACACGATTCTGACCTAAATAAACGTTTGTCCAGGTCAACGTGGATTCAACCTGGACTGATTCATGAGCTGGTTTCACTTGGTGTAAACTGTGACCTGCAGCATTAGGATTCGTTCACTCAACAGTATTCGGGGACTTTTTTTATTGAACCAATCGCTGCTGTTTGGTCGTGACGTAACCGTGAACATCTGGAGCCTCATGTGAGCGTCGCTGAACTCTGTAGTGACGTCACACTCGCTTGGAACTCTTCTTTTTACAGACTATGGTTTAACGTCATGGCTTCACAGCTCACAGCTGATTGGTCGGTGCGCCGTCTACAACTTCTGGGGTTTTTATAAACCATCTAGTGCACAGGTGTCAAACGTACGGCCCGGGGGCCAGATCCGGCCCTCCAAGACCTTTAATCTGGCCCTTGGCTGATTTTCAACTTAAATATTTTAATTAAAATATTGTTAATTTTCTGCGGTGTTTATCACAGCAGCGTCTCCAGCGTCTCTGTACGTGGCCCCTCCCACCAGAGCAGCACAAATGAAGACTTGTCTCTTTCCAAACGCTCTTAAAGGACGATCGTTTTGACTGTTGACCGTGACACCCTCATCAGAAAATGTCCAACATGAGAAAAGTGGAGCCGAGTGCAGGATTTTACAAGAAAAATTGACTTATTCCTGTTTACATACAAGTTAATGTTAAAATATTGTGTTGAAATTGCATTTTTCTTAAAGTTTCAGGTTCCTCATAATAATATAATATTTTGTAAAAGAAAGAGTTCATCAATTAAAAAAGATTTCTGTAATAGATTTGTGTTTCTCTGCACAAATATTTGAACTTATTGTTATTTTTGAGGTTTACATTCCATGAGTTTTTTGATCCGGCCCCTTTGGGATCAAAGTCGGTTGGATATGGCCCCCGAACCAAAATGAGTTTGACACCTCTGATCTAGTGTTTTCTGATTCCTGATCTAGAGCTGGAGAGACGTGAAACTGAGCGGAGGCACTAAGTGGTAAAAGCCTGGACAGATTCTACCTGGACGACTGAGGGACTTTACACAAATCTTAATGAGATTTAATTTAACATACCGTATTTTCCGGGCTATAGTTCGCGCTCTTAAGCCTCCAACTCCATCAAAATACGACCGCGCGCCACAATCCAGAGCGCCCCATACACGAATCCACTCGGGTGTCGCAGCACGACTTCAGTAAACTACAAAACCGCAAACACAGACACACTCATCGCTCCACGCCGACGAGGAACGGAGGAACGAACCGAAAAAGCGACGAGCGCGAACGTGCCGCTTCTAGACACGACTGAACAACTGAGTCACTGCGAACACGCCGACAATCCGTTGGTCCCAGACACACCCTCCCTACACGAAAGTTTTAAAATGTAAGAAAAGTGACCGATAACGACGGACAAAACTGAAATTTCGTTTACCAAGATTAGAATTTCTGTCAAGATGAACGGAGAACTGTGCTTAAAGACGGGGTATTTTTGGAGCTTTCTCCCGTGTTATAACATTCCATAGTCTAAAAAAAACATGTCTGAAGAGGTTTTAGAGACATCACACGTGTTTGAGTAATCTAGCGATCTCTCTGTACGAGATTTCTCCATAAATACGACAACAAACACGAAAATTTTCCATAAATAATACAAAAACGTGACAGAAAACCGCAGTAGTTTCGTTAGACGGGACGCGCGGTGATTGTGTTGTGATGGCGCTCTGAAGGGGGAGCGACTTAGCAGCAAAACCGAAACTTATAAAACATGTTAATCTGTTGTCGCGGGTGATTATACTGTTTACAAAACAATAAAAAGAACTAAAAATGTGAGGAACGGAACGGAGGAACGAACCGAAAAAAGCGACGAGCGCGACGTGACGCTTCTAGACACGACTGAACAACTGAGTCACTGCGAACACGCCGACAATCCAGCGACAGACACTACTCCCTACACGCCACAACTGAACAAAGCCCAGAGTCACCGTGAACGAACAAACAAACAAAACCACTCACCCATCATACTGTTGGGTTTCATTTAAAGTCCCACGAGGTTTATTTGTGAAAAAAGATCGAAAATAGACCAATTAATGATTTATAATCCAGAGCGACGTATAGTGCAGAAAATATGGTAATCTGACCCCAGAATGGACTCATTTGTTGTATTTGCCGCCACATTTGGTGTAAAAACTCTGCAGCATTTGAAAAGTCCAGAGATCAGCTCTTCTCAGGCTCTTCGTCTCCATGGAAACATAAAAAACAACAGTTCATTTCACTAAATCCAGCAGCACAAAGTTTTATTATTTTCATATTCTCAGTGTTGGTCTGGGAGCAGTTTGGAGCTGGACTTCAGGGGGAAGGTGCAGTCAGAGAAATGTTTATTCAAACTGATAAAGTTCAAGAGCAGAACAAAGAATCTGGAGAAAATAAATACAGTCAAGTTCACTTCTGAGAATCGACTCAAGTTACTGCAGAAAAGAAACGTCACAGTGAACAGAGAACAAACTTCAACCACAAAACTGCAAGATAAAAATAATCATCATCATCATAATAATACTCAGGGTTTTATACTCAGGGTTCCCAATTATTTTTTCTAAACTTTTTCACGAGCTAAAGTGAATTTTCCATGACTTTCCAGCACCTACATGTGTAGAACTCTTTCCACTCACCTTATGGTTTGGGATTATAGTTTTGGAACTTTCTAAATCCTGTCAGTGCATTTATTTATTGCATTTATTGTCGTCTTTTTTAAACAAAAGACTCAGACGTTCAGAAATAATCAGAACAGACTCATGAGAACTGAACAGGACACTGGAGCGGAGGGAAAGAGACTAAAATTCATGGAGGAAAAGTTGCGTTCGGAGCAGTTTTTTTTTTTTTTTTTTTTTTTTTTTTTGTGAATTCTCGCAGACTTCTGTTGTGCCACCGGGCAACGCACTTCACCTACAGCCCACTCTGTACGTGCTGTGACAGGAAGAGCGTCCTGTCCGCTCAACAATGGAAACTCCCCAAAAAAGAACACGCCAGAGCTGCACGACTTCTGTTTAAAGCTACACTACGGAACTTTACTATTGAAGAGTTCAGCACCTGCACAGAACGTACGGACTTAAACTTCTCTTTTGTTCATTTATTCAACGACTGGAGTTTAATTCTTTGAAAAACATGATTTATTTCAGAGAGCAGGGTCGCCTCTCCACAGATCTGACCTGGAACTTGTCTCCGTGGAGATGGTTTAATGACACACTGTGGAATATTCCCAACACAACAATAAAAACACTTCCACAGAGACAAGCGGGCAGCCGACTCTCCTTTAAAGCTGCACTCCGTAACTTTTCGGTTGTGTGTCCGTCACCTGCTTGTTTCCATGGATACAGGACGTCACTGCTCTGTCTGGAATGTTCCACAGTGTGACTTTAAACAGCTCGACTTTACATTTATTCAATCACAGGTGGTTTTATAGTTCAAAAATACTTAGAAAACCAGACATTGTGAGTGTGAGCGGGGTCGCCTCTCCACAGATCTGACCTGGAGAAGGTTTAATGACACACTGTGGAACATTCCAGACCAATATAACACAAGCCTCCAACCACGAGATTTTCTTACACCGATACACGCAAAAAAAACTGGAGGGTTAAAATTTCAGAGTAAAATATTTCAGAGTTGTTTTTAACACAAAAAGTGTGATTTTAACTGTTTGAAAGTTAAATGTGTACTGGTGTTGGGGTTATTTTGTTGATATGGTTGAAGTTCATGTTAGTACTAGTGTTGATTCAACTTCTCTTAGTGTTAATTTGGCTCCTCCCACCTCCACTTCAAACTCCTGTGAGAGTAGAACCAGTTTGAACCAGTTTTGTTCATAATTTCATCTTAAATTAACTCAAATAAAGTGTAAAAATAAAACACCTCTGTGTGTTGTTTAGTTAAGTTTACCTTTACACTGAAACCACACAGTAACGCCAAACCACCTGAAACACTGGTCACATGACTCGGCTGACGTCACGACGTCACGTGGGCGATAAAAACACGGAGGTGGAGCAGCGAGCGTGAAGCTGCGGCGGCCGATATCGAGCCGAGGACGATGTGAAGCCTGAAAACTGTTTTTTCAGTTCAGGTTCAGGTTCAGTTTGTCTTTGGTTTGTTTAATCCGTTTTCCACAACAGCGTCACATGACGACGTCACAAACCCAGAGAATCAGGAAGAAACGAGTCACAGAGACACAGTGTCCAATCAGGACGAGACTAATATAGAAGAACCATCCATACAGACGGACAATTTCCCCAGTTGAGAGAATGAACTTATCTTTATGTCGTCATTATATGTTTATTTAATTACATATGAACTCAGAAAAACCCTGAAATATGAAATATGTTCTATGTGCCTGTTTTGTATTATTAGATTTATTTTTTATTATTCTTTACTTCACTCTGTCAGTGGCATTAGAGGTTCTATTTTTTGTTATTGCCAAACTTGTGTCTTGTATATCTGAAGTTACTATTTAATTAAAAAAGCTCCTACTTCAGAGTATCAGAGTTTTCAGGAGTCCCACAGTCCCCGTCACATCTGGACCAACATGAACTCGTGGAGCTGGAGGCACCAGATCGTTCAGACTCTGGAGACGTTTAACATCAGATTAATGTGAACGAACACTGTTCACACAACAACACCACTCACATACACACTAGTGTGAACGGGACCTCAATCAGGATAACTCTACAAAGTGTTTTCCGTTCACTCTCAAAACATTCATATGAACATTTCCAAAAATATTAAATTAACTCTAGAACACACTGGACTCAGATAAACCCTGAGAAAAAGTTAAATCTGTTTCTGTGAGAGTCGGTTTTAACTCTCCACTCTAACTACAGACTAGAACACAATCTGGGACGTGCTCAAGGGCACGAGGGCAGAGAGTGACTGGCACAGTTCCAGATGTTATCGCCTCAGTGTGGATCTGACCTTCAGCGCACCTTTACCCTCCTCCACCCTCCTCCGGCCTCCTCCAGCCTCACAGTCAAAGGGTCCTATTGTGTGAAGCCCCCCCCCGTCTATTACCCCCCCCCCACACACACACACACACACACACACGCACACACACACACACACACACACACACAGAGACACACACACAATCTCACAAAGTCCCCCAGGCTCACGATTCTTTCAGTCCTTGTTCTGGGAAAGACATCAGCAGCAGCACCGCAAAGTCAAACCGTCCAACCCCTCGTGTGATTTATGTAAAGCGAGTTATGAAACGAGCACTTTAAAGGTGAACTTCTGAAAGCTCCTGCGCCTCATTTTTATTAAAAACATGAAACGCAAAACTCGTTCATCTGAAACAGTTTGGTCCAAAGTTCTTCTCGTCTGCTTTCACAACATCCGAACTCTTCACCGTGATGAGTTTAAAAGAGTTTTCCACAACTTTCAGAGGCCAAAGATGCAATAATCCTACAGTTTCTCGCTTTCCCCGTCATTTTGTGTTTCACCGACCTGGGACGAGTCATCGAACCAACGCCAACTGCAATTTACCAACAGTCATAGACCTGAGATCCAACGTCTATCAGCTCCTGCCAATCACCTGCGAGTGAAAACTGATCAAGACTTTAAACTTGACAAACAAATGAGTCCACGTTCAGTCTGCAGCCCGAAGTGACCTCAGGACCTGTTTACACGGAAGGTTTGCAGGTAAAAACAGCGACCGCACAATCAAAAACACGCACAGACACACTCATCACTCCACCCCGACGAGGAACGGAACGGAGGAACGAACCGAAACGGCGAGTGCGACGTGCCGCTTCTAGACACGACTGAACAACTGAGTCACTGTGAACACGCCGACAATCTGTTGGTCCCAGACACACCCTCCCTACACGCCACAACTGAACAAAGCCCAGAGTCACCGTGAACGAACAAACAAACAAAACCACTCACCCATCACACTGTTGGGTTTCATTTAAAGTCCCACGCCGTTTATTTGGGAAAAAAGTTCAAAAATAGACCATTTAATGACAGTGCGCCGCATAATCCAGAGCGAATAAAGGGCCGTTCACACCAAAGCATCAAAAAACACCTTTACGTCTCTATTTGGACGCCTTTGCCTTTGAATTTAAACACCCCTGACGAGCGTCTTTGACGCCGTGGACAAACGGGAGAAAAATACTTGACGTGCGTCCGTTGCCCTGGTAACAAGAGCCTGGTCCCGCTCTTTTCCCAAAACAATGTCAGACCAGACTGAGAGAGACTTTAGTGTTTTTATGACATAAAACATCAGCGGAGGAGATCAGGTCGACGACTGGGGCGAGTTTATATTTATACTGGGATCAGTCCCGGTCTAGTCCCGGTCTAGTCCCGGTCTGGTTCTGGTGTAGTCCTCGTGATCGTCTCGGTGATTGTGGTGTATATATTTATTCTCCGCTCATGTTTGTGGTTCTCGTTCTGGTTCTGGGGTTTTTCTTCCTGATAATAACGTCGCTGCGTCACTGGATACTCGTCCCTGATTGGTCGACACCAGATTCGCGCCGCGCTGATGCCGAAGACGCAGAAACGCAGGACGCTCTAGTCGCGCGTCCACATAGACTTTACATAGAAACTGGACGCTTTGACGCTTTAGTGTGAACAAACCTTAATGGTGCGGAAAATATACATTGTACATTGTTTTCACTCAGTGCTCCGTTGTCGCCTGGACATGAACATTGATAACATTGATCCGACACGTGTATGGACACAAATTTTTTTCAACCCGCAAAAAGAAAAATCCAGGAGCGTCGTCGTGTGGACGTCGCCTAAACCAGCGCACGAGCGTAAAACATGAGCACAATGTTTTTAAAAATCTGCCATTTAGTGTTTTTAGGTTCTTTTTTCAGACCTAGAGTTTTGTTTCATACCTGACAGTTTGCACTGCTCCCTGCGTCTTCCTCAGAGTGATACACGAAAAAAGGAACATAGAACAGAACGCGAGAAGGAAACAGCGAAGGCGAAACACGAGCAACAAAACACAAGGCAGAACAAGAACAACTCAAATCGTCCGTTTCTGACCAGTGTAAAAGACAGAAGCAGATTCTGGACTGGAGCAAACATCACTGGGACAGAGGAAAACAAACACCGTCGCTGGATTAAAGAGGCAATCGAAATACGGAGCTGTGCCCACGGGACGATAAACCGAGACGAGGGGCTTTTTTACTCTCACACACCTGAGATTCTGTCCTGAGGAAGTGGGACTGCAGGTGGCGCTGTCGTCCTGCCTCCACTGAGAGGAAAACACAGACAAACCTGTTTAAATCAACTGAGCGACATGACAAAACTCTAGGTTAGGCCTTTAACGATAATCAATAAATCAATTAATCGTACGATAAATTCTATTTGCATGTTTGTTTTCCTCGCTCTCTGTCGCTCTCAAAGAGGGTGAACGTTAGAAGCTTCTGTCGCTCTGCCTCCTCTCGTTTAACAAGCGTAATGACCTAATAGATCCATGGTAATGACGCTTGAACCAACGTGTGCTGAGTTTATCAACAGTGAGTGTGTTTACATGCACATCAATAACCCGGTTATGATCGGGTTTTTTGAGTCTCCCGGTTTCTTGATAGTGCGTGTTAACGCAGTAACCCAGTTATGGCAGTGTCCCGGTTATTAGAAACCGAGTTACTGTAGCTGGTTTATTCCGATAGTAACCGGGATACTTGTGACATGTAAACGCAGTATCCCGGTTACTGCAACATAAAGTTGAGTCACATGTGTCCAAAAGACACTTTCCAGCCTTTCACCACAACAGTAGTGACATAAATAAATTGACCAACATAAATAAAGTGACCAAACGAGTGAAATGACTGTAAAATTAAGAGCTGCGCTAAACCTGCACTCGTACGACCTGCACTCGTGTGACGCTGAAAAGCTAAAACATGAACTATCTCCTATACTCTATATGCACAGAACAGACTCACCATCATCAGCGCCTCTTCTGTCACAGAAATAACACACATAATCCACAGAGTCGTGTCATTTAGTCCAAAAGAAACTGATCACATCAGCGGCGCAAGGAGCGAGTTGTTTTTATCGCCGCTAACAGTTTATGCTAATTAGCCAAACGGTCTTAAGTTTCGTTTCTGTAAAACGTAAACAAATGTGATCAGAGCTGAATGATCTGATCAAACGGGCTGATGTGTCTATAGTGTTTATGGTTTATATGTTGTAAAGTTGAGTTTATTTATGCAGAAGATTTTAATGAAGAATCTGCACAGTGGATTGTGGGAGATCTCGTAGCTCCTTAGCTTCTTATGCTAAAGGAGCTCACGGTTTGTATTTTTCCTGGTTTATGAAATTGATTTAAGTTAATTTTTGCGCCTGCGCATTTGTAAGATTATGTCAAGAAACCGGGACACTCCATTTGATCATGTACACGCGGATATGAGTGTCCCGGTTTCTCAGTGAACATGTAAACACAGTAACACGAACACTGACAGAACCGAGATATGGAGAATAACCGGGTTATTGATGTGCATGTAAACACACTCACAGTGGATGCGCGCTGTCTGTGCTGGCAACACAAGCGCCGCTGTCAGAGTAACAAAACAGTTCATCTCCGTTCATCACCAAAACACGTCACGATGCCGAATCAACACTGGTGAGCGGGACACGTCTCAACAGCCTGTGCGTCAAATGCAGCGAGCGAAACGCAAACGACGAGAAGAAACGTCTCAAACCCCAACAGCCGATATAAACCCAAACCTGAGCCCGAAATCCACTGAAATCCCACAAGACACAGACACGACACCAGACAGAACAGAGACTCACTCAGAGCCAAACAGGATCCTGTGTCGCGGTTCATACGAACATTTAAAGACCAAAACGCCGAGGCCACAGCAGCAGGAACAGAGACGAGACACAATATAAATCAACGACTAAAACAACTTTTAAGGACAATTTTGTTACAGAGACTTAATAATCCATTTTATTTATTGTTTTGGTTGTGTTTGGTTCAACAATGGTTTATTCAAGTGTATTTTTGTGAACAAGTCCTCGCTGTCAGTCAGACACATTAGACTGTTCTTATGTGAACAAGTCTGTTTTATTTAGGCCTGTTGTTTTTGTTTGTCTTCCTGTTCCTGTGTTAAATGTTCTTTAGAAAGTCAAATTTATTGATCTTTGAAAGGGCGGATTTGCATTTTTATTCCATGGTCGTTATAATAGTTAAAATTTGTCTCAAAATGTCAATATTATCATTTATCGCAATAAATTCTTGGTCAATTAATCGTCCAGCAAAGTCTGTTACCGTTACAGGCCTGGTAACAAGAAAAAAGAAACTAATAACATAAAATATCAGAAGACCAAATGAACCTCATCGGACTATCTGCCACTACGGATTAAAATAAACTTCTAAAATCTACTTTTTCAGGACGACGACTTCTACGTTTTGTCTTCTGTTCCAGTGTCGTGACCCGGTTTATCTCTTGGAACGAGAACTTTAAAGAGTCAGAGTTTAACCCTTGACTCACCGCACGCAGCTTCTGTTTTTCACACTAAACTTCTGTTCGTGTTTTTAGTGTTTTTGTTTCTAAATGTTGCAGTGTTGGACTCACGGTGTTCAGGTCTCCTCCTCGTCCTCGTCCGTCGTCCTCGTCCGTCGTCCTCCTCGTCTTGGTCTCGGCTCGGTTCTCTGTTCTCGGTGCGAGTCACAGCTGGCTGCAGACGCTCGTGTCCTCACAGGCTGCTGCCCTTAAATGGCATCAGCGTCTGCAGGGAGAGAAGAAGAGAAACCGAGGATGAAGCGGAACAAAAACACACGTCTGGTTAAAGGGCTCGTGTTACTCTGGTCTCACAAAACTGTTTTCATGTCGTTTTACTCGTCAAAAACAAACCTGGACTTGTGGTTTTTTGTTTTATTCACAAATGTTTAACACAAATTTATGCAGATTTAGGCCGAGTTTTTCCCTGTTCTGGTCTGAGTCTCAGTCAGTTCTGGTCTCAGTTCCGGTCACCGTCCTGGTCCTGGTCTCAGTCCTAAACCTGGACTAAACCGGACCCAGACGAGGGACTGAAACCGGGACCGAGACCGGGACCCAGACCAGAACTGAGACTAGGACCATGGACTGCAACAAAGGACTGGTTTAATCCTGGTTTAGGTAGACCTGGTTTAGACCTGGTTTAGTCCTGGTTTAGTCCTGGTTTAGTCCTGGTTTAGTCCTGGTTCGGAGACAAGACCGAAACTAGACCGAAACAAGACCGAGTCCAAACGCCTTCAAGACCGAGACGAGACTGAGACAAGACTGAGTCCAAATATAGTCAAGTCCGAGACCAGACCGCGACCAAAAAAAAAAAAAAAAAAAAAAAAAAACAGGCCGGTATCGAGACCAAGACTGATAATTTTTTGTGTAAATGATCAATAACAAAGTGTTTTTTGAAAGAGAAATACAAAATAAATCCATCGTATAACTAAAAATAATCATTAGAATCATCGTGTAAATACTGACGACAAAGTTCTCGTCACATTATTTTCACATTTTAACAGATTCTGCACAAACGTCTGCCCCTCCGTCCTCCTGAGACACTTTTGTCATTTTCAAGTGAACAGCTTCAGTTTTTAGTTTTAGTTTGATAATTCCAGGTCTGAAATGATCCAAATGATTCTCGTGAAGATGTTTAAAAACTGATTTCTGTTCTGATGTCGTTTCCTCGTCACAAACCTGGACTTGTGTTTTTTTTTTTTTTGTTTCATTCACAAATGTTTAACAAATTTATGCAGATTTACGCCGAGTTTTTCCCTCAACTTTCTGATGTGACTCGTGTGAACGAAACAAAACTCAAGTCCAGGTCGGTTTTTGGATGTAAAAAAACATTAGAACAGAAACACTGCTGTGGAGGAACAGACACATGAACCAGAGGTTTTCTGGGCTAAATCCTTTCTTTTGTTTTTCTGGTAATTCCACTCACTGCTGGACACTAAACCAGGACTAAACCAGGACTAAACCAGGACTAAACCAGGACTAAACCAGGACTAAACCAGACTAAACCAGACTAAACCAGGACTAAACCAGGACTAAACCAGGACTAAACAGAAACCAGGACTAAACCAGGACTAAACAGGACTAAACCAGGACTAAACCAGGACTAAACTAAACCAGACTAAACCAGGACTAAACCAGGACTAAACCAGGACTAAACCAGGACTAAACTAGGACTAAACCCAGGACTAAACTAGATCTAAACCAGGACTAAACCAGGACTAAACCCAGGACTAAACCAGGTCTAAACAGGACTAAACCAGGACTAAACCAGGACTAAACAGGTCTAAACAGGACTAAACCAGGACTAAACCAGACTAAACAGGACTAAACCAGGACTAAACCAGGACTAAACCAAACTAGATCTAAACCAGGACTAAACCAGGACTAAACCAGGACTAAACCAGGACTAAAGGACTAAACAGGACTAAACCAGGACTAAACTAGACTAAACCAGGACTAAACTAAACCAGGACTAAACCAGGTAAACCAGGACTAAACCAGGACTAAACCAGGACTAAACCAGACTAAACCAGTCTAAACCAGGACTAAACAGGACTAAACCAGGACTAAACTAAACCAGGACTAAACCAGGACTAAACAGGACTAAACCAGGACTAAACCAGGACTAAACTAGATCTAAACCAGGACTAAACCAGGACTAAACCCAGGACTAAACTAGATCTAAACCAGGACTAAACCAGGACTAAACCAGGACTAAACCAGGACTAAACCAGGACTAAACCAGGACTAAACCCAGGACTAAACTAGATCTAAACCAGGACTAAAACCAGGTCTAAACCAGGTAAAACCAGGACTAAACCAGGACTAAACCAGGACTAAACTAGATCTAAAACCAGGACTAAACTCTAAACAGGACTAAACAGGACTAAACCAGGACTAAACCCAGGACTAAACTAGATCTAAACCAGGACTAAACCAGGTCTAAACCAGGACTAAACCAGACTAAACTGGACTAAACCCGGACTAAACCCGGACTAAACCAGGACTAAACCAGGACTAAACCAGGACTAAACCAGGTCTAAACCAGGACTAAACCAGGACTAAACCAGGACTAAACCCAGACTAAACCAGGACTAACTAAACTAGATCTAAACCAGGTCTAAAACCAGGTCTAAACCAGGACTAAATTAGGTCTAAACTAGGTCTAAACCAGGACTAAACCAGGTCTAAACCAGGACTAAACCCAGGACTAAAACCAGGTCTAAACTAGATCTAAACCAGGTCTAAACCAGGACTAAATTAGGTCTAAACTAGGTCTAAACCAGGACTAAACCAGGACTAAACCAGGTCTAAACCAGGACTAAATTAGGTCTAAACTAGGTCTAAACCAGGACTAAACCAGGTCTAAACCAGGACTAAAATAGGTCTAAACTAGATCTAAACCAGGTCTAAACCAGGATTTAACAGGACTAAATCCTGCTGTGTGGACGTGTTTCTTCTTCTATCAATAATATTTTTAATTTGGTTCAGTAAAATCTGGACTTTTTATTTTCTTTTATCAGACAAAACTTCTTATGTGAAGATTTCCTCGTCTTTGTTTCTCTACAGCAAATCAAGTAATCCAAAGTAATCAGATTACATTACTCACTTTAGTAAATTAATGGATTCTGTTACAAACTACATTTTGGTGTGTGTAATCTGTAATCTGTAGGGGATTACATTTTAAAAGTCACCTTCCCGACACTGAACAAGACTTAAATCTCCCTCAAGAGTCGGTTCGGTGTAAATAAAGGAGTGTTAAAAGTTTCTAGAGTGAAGAGGAGATGTTTTGATGCAGTCCAGGCCCGGAGCCGCAGAGGAAACGCTCGGTTACAGAGGAAGACGACACAATGGGCTGCGATTATGTAAGTGTTTAGGAAAGACCGGACTCCCGCGCACATCAAGACACACACAACTGCATCGCAAAAACAGACGCCGCGCTCTGGAAACTCACAAGTGTGTTTAGGATTTTTCTTTTTTAATCAAGATTTTATCAAGAATCGAGGAGGAAACGGTCTCGATTGTAGGAAAATCACAAACACAAAGAGGAAACTGCAGCTTTTGAGTGTTTTTTTTTTTTTAAAAGATCCGCAGATGTTTTTGCAAATAAAATCTTAAACTCGTATCGTGAAGATTAAAAACTATTGTCTGGATTTAAACACGAATCTGTAAAGAACCAGAGACTCACGAGACTCCAGACGAACGAGTAAAGAAAGTCTAAAAACAGGACTAAAACAGGACTAAAACAGGACTAAAACAGGACTAAACCAGGACTAAACCAGGACTAAAACAGGACTAAGGACTAAACCAGGTCTAAACCATGACTAAAACAGGACTAAAACAGGACTAAACCAGGTCTAAACCAGGTCTAAACCAGGACTAAAACAGGACTAAACCAGGACTAAACCAGGTCTAAAACCAGGTCTAAACCAGGACTAAACCAGGACTAAAACAGGTCTAAAACCAGGACTAAACCAGGACTGAACTAGGACTAAAACCAGGTCTAAACAAGATCTAAACTAGGTCTAAAACAGGTCTAAAACTAGGACTAAACCAGGACTAAAACAGGACTAAAACCAGGTCTTAAACCAGGACTAAACCAGGACTAAAACAGGTCTAAAACCAGGACTAAACCAGGACTAAACCAGGACTAAACCAGGAACTAGGACTAAAACCAGGTCTAAACGAGATCTAAACCAGGTCTAAAACTAGGACTAAACCAGGACTAAAACCAGGTCTAAACCAGGACTAAAACAGGACTAAACCAGGACTAAACCAGCTGAAACAGGATTAATGCAGAACCAAACCAAAACCAAACCAAGACTATACCAGAACCAATCCAGGACTAAACCAAAACCTAACCAGGACTGAACCAGGACTAAACCAAAACCTAACTAAAACCAAAAGAGGTCTAAACCAGAAGCAAACAAGGACTAAATCAGAAACCAAAACCAAACCAGAACCAAACCAGCCAAACCAGGACTAAATCATAACCAAACCAGGACTAGGTTTACACCTGATCTGAGAGGAAAAACCAGGTCTAAACCAGGACTAAACCAGGACTAAATCCTCCGACGCTCCCCCCACGCCCCGAGATCCCCCGACGCTCCAAACCCCAAACCCGGACACGCTATTGTTTGTTTGTTTTGCTTGTTTACATTTATGGAGCTAACGAGCGCGGGCAGAACATCACTTCAGCTTCTGCGGTTTTGCGACGAAGAACAACAGAGTCTTTTTTTTTTTAAAGGACTGGACTCGAGCGGCGACGGCGGAGGAGGAGGCGGAGGAGGCGGCGGCGGTGGCTCTGGGACGCTCCGATTACGAACCCGGGCCGCTTTCGAATGCTCCCCGCGGCGAAACGTGTAATTAGCAGCAGTTTATGCGCGGGTTTAATTGGGAACAGAGCTGTTGTGAAGTGGAGCTAAACAGGCTCAGGTCCAGATGCTCAAGTTTATGAGAAAACAGAAGAAAGGCCAAGTTTAAACCGGAGAAAAAGGAAAGAAGGAAATAAGGATATAAGGAAATAAGGAAATAAGGAAGGATCATGGACTGTAAATATAAACAGGAAGTGAAGTGGGGGGGGCGTCCGCTATAGTAAAGTGACCCCCCCCCCCCCCCCCCCCCCCGATAGGATTTTGACTCCCTTTACTTTTTCCTTTAGTAGTTATTTATCTGATCATTATTTCTCCAGGACTAAACCAGGCCTAAACCAGGTCTAAACCAGGTCTA